TCCATCATTAAAGCAAGCTTTATGAGGGCTGCGGGGGGGAAAGTAAAAAGGAAAAATCCAGCTCGTGATAGAGCATGAAATCAAGGTGGTGGTGGTGGGGGAGAGTTTCCTACAGTCAGGGAGAGAAACGTTTGTAGTTTCGGTGAGGATTTTAGCATCTGGTCCCGCGTCCCCCTCCCCCCTGCCCGATACGCCACCTCTGCTTCAAAATTCAGAATATAGCGCGCTCCTTCCCCTCCGCCCCTTCGCCGCGGAGCTGACTGCGGTTCCGAGGCGATTGCACAACGCTTGGAAACTCTGCCTTGGAAGTGGGGATTCGGGAGAGAGGCTGATGCCTTGCTGCCCTGTAGGATCTGGCTGTGCCTGCATCAAATCCTCAGGGTGGAAGGGGCAAAATTGAGAGTCTGTAAAGCAAACGGGTGAATGGGAGTTTTAGAAAGCTGCTTCACTTCAGTTTGCTGGTGGCGGGGGCGGAGGGAAGGAAGGAGCTGTCTGACTTATAAAATCACTGCAATTCTTGCTTAAAGACGAGCATAAAGACATGTAGACGCGCAGTCATTCCAGGGCGATGATTTGGCATCACTGAGTGTGCAAAGAAACTTGACATAATCTCCGCTTTTTAAAACGGCAAAGCCTGTCAAAGTCCCGCTCTGACAAAAGCCACTCGGCGAAGGCAACGCGACTGATGGCACTTCCGTTAGGGCGCACATAAACCGGGGGGTCATCAAAAATATACTGGGACAGGCGGGAGACACTTGAAAAAGAGAGGGCTCAGCAGTTTGAAAACACAAGAGCAGGCGTAGCGAATTGTTGGTTATCGAGGAAGAGAAAGTGAAAGGCTTTTCCAGATATTTATGAAGTTCACAACTGAAACCGTGACCTCTTTCACTCAAAATGTTGTGAGCTTGGTAAAGTGGTAATCAACAGAAACTGTTTTAAAAAATAACCCTCAAGGATACCATCGTTTTCTTCATTGTCCGTTACATCAAGGAACGTTTACAGTAATTCAGAATGGGTGTAACTGAATTTCATCTTACGTAGCTGGTATACAGGCTGAAAACTCTTCCAAGATTAAAAGCCGTATTCAGTTAAAACACTGGTGGCGAAATCTATTGTTGCATCTTCATTACATTTTATGAGATGAAAGGCATTCTCTGATCTCATGAGGTGTATGAGCAATACTAAAATTTGAGTCCCCATTACTACTGGGAAAATAACTGGATGCCTGTCGGTGTAAGGATTTATTGCATTTGTCAGTCTATTTAAAGCTGAAGGAAAAAAGGAAATCGGTCCCTTTCACTGTCAGGGAAGTATCTGTATCGCTTTCTGTTTATTTCATTTTGCAATGCAAACCAAAAAAACACCAGTGGGGAATGTCCCAAACCTTACCCTGAAGTGACCGGAGTCTTCCACCGGATTTAGTGGACAAGGGTCCGAGCCTTTAGCCATGCCTTTAGCTCATCTTGCGCTGTGCTCCGAACCTCACTTTCTAAGACTTTCTGAAGATCAAGGCAGGTAACTATTTCCTCCTCCTTTCCCCTAAGACAAAAAATATTATGGCCGTTCACACAATTGTGAATCTCTCAAACTGAAAATAGGCATCTTTTGACAACAACGGGGTAGCTGCTCTGTCTTTGGTTTTTCTTCAGGAAAAGCCTGAGTTTTGGACTGAACATTTAACCCCACCCCTTTATTAATCCTGAACTCCGGTGCTAGATATCGAATGCCCTTCTAACGTGTGGCAGCGAGAACTATTTTTAAGTCGCTGCATTTCTATATTTGTCATCCATAATTGCCCCTCACTTGATTAAAAATCATGCCCTTTATTTCTCATTAATCTGGTTTTTTAAACAAATTACCGTACTTGAAAGAATTTCATCCACGCCTTCCCCACTTTTTGGAGACATATTCATCACACTTGGAACTACTTCAGTAGGGGTTTGTATAAAATCCTAATAGTAAATAACTAAGAAGTGAAGAGAGACTGTTTAAGTTTCAGTGCCAGCATTCTGAGACAATTATTAATGCTCTTGCTTATTTACAGATATATTTCCTCTTCTTAAGCATATCACTTAAAGCCACAGAATGTTCAGTGTTTTCTTGAGCAGTGAATCTGTTCCGCATTTCAGAGCTGAATTAACCTTAGGCTACCCCTTTCTTGCACCACTCTGCTTTTATTTCTGAACGTTTAAGATCAGGAACGCTGATTCATAAAGCTGAGTTTATAGATAGTTTAAAGAAAGTAAAACATGAACATTCCTTGTATCATTTATCTCCCAAACTAGTAACTGTTGCTCAGCCATATAGATACTCTGAAAATTTACCAGCAGAGATACCCCCTTTTTACTTATTTTTTATGAGGGCGGGAGCGTAATTTTTAAAAATTATAAACAAAAATCCAGAGGGCGAACAAAATTTTGGACGATGTACTGTGTGTTTGTCCCTGTGCTTGCAATCTTTTTCCCTGGAATTCACATATTGCAGGGGAATGGGAGGATAGAAATATTTTGCGCTATGCTCTGTTGTACTCTTGTTTGGGATTGAGAAAGCAAGGTGAAATGTGCTTTCGTGGTAGTTTTATGAACTGTCTGACTTACAGTTTTCTTTTGCCCTAACCCAGGTTTTAAGCAGTTTGGGAAGTTCCCTTTGAAGATATTGAATAGGCTGCTACAGAACAGGGTGAAATTGTCAACTGTTCTTGTAAAGGACTGGGAAATACTGCTTACTTAGTCATCGACCCCCGCATGCTACAGCTGTCAGTGTCTCCAGGTTTTGCAGTCTCTCTCTCCCATTATCTTCAGAACATTCCTTTCAACCTGCGTAGGCCCAGAAGTGGGTCAGTAAACTAGCCTGCGAGCTGAGGAGTGATGCACACAAATCTTTAGATGTTAACGTTTTGCAGTGAATAATGGCATCTGCATCCTTGCCTTTATAACTCAGCTCTGCGTATGTCAAGGATGTAGGAGTAAAAAGCCGATACTAAATTTGAGGATAGGTTGCAAATAAATTCGCTTATTTTAAAGTGCACTAATGGTCAGAATTATCTGTGTGCTAATGAGGTGCGGATGAAAACCATGCTGAGTGTATCAAAAACATATTCTTGGAGAGCTTTGTTGCTTTGTGGTACGAGTTGTTCTATATGAAATATTTTGGATTTTTCTAATGCCTCCCCGTCTCATTACTTGCCTGTGACTTTTGAGGCCATTTTATTTGGTTTTTTATACAGTAGGTTTTGATTCTCAGACGATGCAGAACACATCAAATGCAAAATTACGACTGCGATTGTCTAAGTTGGCTTACTTAGGTCCAAGTTTCTTAAAACTTCAGTCAGGAGAAAAGCATATTAATGCCTACATAGAAAGTGTAATCTAGCCTTACTGAGAAATGTGAAAAGAAAGTGAATCTGCTAGCCTTAAGGAAGTCTAAAATGCTATGGCGAAAACAATATCTGTACTACGGTGAAAAGATCAGGGGGAGGCTGAGTACTGTTGAAGGAGTTCTTCTAAGCACTACAACTATTCAAACATTTAATTGCGATAGATAAATATATGTTATAAGTAAATTTGATTCCAGTTAAAGTCTAATGTAATTAAATACATGCCCCCAGGCATGAGAAGCTTTTTTTTTTTTTAAAGTTTGACATGGAAAAATGTTTTTATATGGTGCAGATTTCCAAGGAAAGGCTAGCAGGTAATAACAACTATTCATACTTTTCACTGTATTTACAATAGTATCATGTAGAAACACTGATGTTAAACCTACAAAAACATTTCAGGAATCCAGTGTTTCAATAGCTGTTCTGCTGGTTTTTGTTCATTGACAAATCACATGAAAAGAAAACAATACTCTTTGTTTCCAGTGTTTTAACATCTTTTATAACCTACCTATTCTCAACATGCAAGCAGTAAAAAGTTACATCTCCAGGGAATTTATTTTAAACACATCTAAATACCATAAATCATATGTGCTTGTTTGAAATGGTCTCTAAAAAGCAGGTCATTTTGATAAATGATTATAAATACTGTGAAATCATGGGTTTTGAGGACTTCTGATTGGTTTCTGAAACACATCAGTAAGAAAAATGAGCTGCACACTTGTAGTCAAAAAGAACTGTGTAACTGATTCATCAATATGTCTGTGCTTTTCAGCATGGTTGTAAACGGAAGCAAGAAAAAATACATAATAAAGCATAGTTTTTCTGGAAAGAGTTAATTTGTTTGGTATCCAGTATCACAGTATCACCATTAAAAAACAACAACAACAACAACACACCTCTGTAGATTTCATAAATGAAACAAGTTCAAAATACGATTAATAATAATCATAATTTTAGGAGAAAACTTTTAAGGCTGATTGCTTAGCAAATGTTGGGCTACCTAGTGGGCTACTTGCTGGATTGTTTAATGGATGAAAATTTGCAATACGTTCACTTTTGCTCTCAGGAAATATAATCAGGAACTCTTCTAGGACTGTAAAATTTTTAAACACTATTTTACTGATACAGTCTCAGAATTCTTTGCCCGTAGCCAAAGAGTAATTTTGTGTGGACAGAAATAAGTATGGCCTCTAATGATGTATTTCTGTCTGTTTATATATATCATTCTTCCCCCCCCCCCCCCCCCCCAATCCCCAACCCCGATAGAAACATCAGGGTCCCAATGCAGATGTTCACTGGAGCACAAATGTTTTTGAGAAGGTCTATTGACTCTAGTGGAACTAC